TCGCTGTGCCTTCCATGAGCATTGTTTGTAGATCAAGCAATATGCAGTCCTTGACAACTTCAACCTTTCCCCATTTATCATGATGTTACCTATTGGTCCAGTTGTGAGAATTTTGGTCTTTGCGACTTTGAGTTGCAATCCATACCGAAGGCTGAAATATCCTTGCTCTTCAGAGGCTGAAATATCCTTGCTCTTCATCAACAAGTGCTTCAAGTCCTCCTCACTTTCAACAAGCTAGGTTGTGTTACCTGCTTATGGCAGTGTGGTAGTTACATAAACTGGTGTCAGTTTGAGAGGATTACGAGTGAAGGGGTAGAGTCTAGTCTGTCAATCGGTTCATAGCCATTGAGGCTTCTGTGTGGGCATGGCCCTCTCCTGAGAATTCTGGGAAATCTGGTACTTCCTTCTTGGAGACAGGAGACACAATCTCTCTCGGTGCACTCCCTGGGAGACTCTCTAGTGACAAGACTGACTTTCCTGGGAGACATTGCAGCTGACAAGACACATGGAACTACTCTAGTGCCCTGAGCTAGAAAAGCCATGTGGACCTGCCCTGATGCAACCAGACCTCTCAAGCCAGAGAAACCACAGCGAGACCCCTGCCAGCACTGAGAGATGCTTACAACACCACTAGATTCAAAGACTTTCTACCCACTGGCTTGTGATCATTCTGCATTTGACATCATTGCATGTGTTTCGTGAGTCTGAAGAGGACTTTATAGATTAGTGTCGGACATATGGGCTAATATCGGACTTATTACCTTGGACTGGACTGGGTTGGGATGTTTTCATAATGTACAATTACCTTTTATATAAAACTTTCATATATACATATGCGTGTTTATGAATTTGTTTCTCTAGTCTACCCAGACTAACATAGGCAGATTGTTAATAAGCTTCCTTCCAATCTGTATGCTTTGGTCTTCTTCATATAATCCAACTTCTCTGATTATTTGCTCAGCGTTATGGATAAGTGTGGAAGCACACCTTTCCTGATTTTCAACCATCATTTTAAACATGATTTTAAAAATGTTCCCTATTCCTGTCACGCAACTGCCTCTTGATCCATGTACAGGTTCTACATGAACACAAGGGAGTATTCTGGAAATCCCATTCTTCTCAAAGGTATCCATAGTTTGTTATGATCTGCACAGTCAAAGGCCTTGGTATAGACAATAAAACGCAAGTAAACATCTTTCTGGTATCATCTGCTTTCAGCCAAGATCTTTTATCTCTTATTCCACATCCTTTTCTGAATTGGTCCTAAAGCTCTGTCAGCTCCCTGTCAATGTACTGCTGCAAGTGTTGTTGGATGGCCGTCAGCAAAATGTTACTGGCATGTGGTATTGTCCTATAGTTTGAGTATTCTTTTGGGTCATCATTCATTGGAATGAGCACAAATATGAATCTCCACTAGTCAGTTGGCCAGGTAGCTGTCTTCCAAATGTCCTGACAAAGACAAGCGAGTGCTTCCAGTCCTTCTGAGCTTGTTAAGAGTCTTGTTTTGGGCTAATGCTTTCAGCGCATCTTGAACATCTTCCTTCCTTCATTCTCATATGCTACATCCTGAAATGGTTTCGGTAGAGTGCCTGTTTATTCTTTCCATCTTCATATTTCCTGCATCATTCAATATTTTGCCCATTGAAAATTTCAATGTTACAACTTGAGGCTTGGATTTTTTTCTTGAGTTCTTTCAGTTTCATTTATATTGATTATGTCTTCCCTGTGGGTTTTCTAATTCTAGATCTTTGTATATTTCATTATAATGATTGGCTTTGTCTTCTTAAGCTGCCCTTTGAAATTTCTGTTCACCTCTTTGACTTCCTCATTTCTCCCAATTTCCTTAAGTACTCTACTACTAAGAGCAAGTGTCAGAGTCTCTTCTGACGTCCAATTTTATCTTTTCTTTCTTCCTTGTCTTTTTAACAATCATTTTATTGGGGGCTCTTACAGCTCTTATATAACAACCCATACATCAATTGTATCAAGCATATTTGTACATATGTTGCCATCACTATTTTATAAACATTTAGTTTCTATTTAAGCCCTTGTTATCAGCTCCTCATTCCCCCCTCCCTCCCCCTCATTGATTTCTTTTTTTTTTTTAATCGTTTTGTTAGGGGCTCATACGACTCTTATCACAATCCATACCTACATCAATTGTGTAAAGCACATTTGTACATTCATTGCCCCTTTCTTGTCTTTTTAAGGACCTTTTATTTCTTCTTAAATGGTGTGCTGGGTGCCCTCCCACAGCTCATCAGGTCTTCTGTCATTCATGGTCAGTGCATCGAATCTGTTCTTGAGATGTTCTCAAAACTCAGGTGGGATCGACTTAAGCTCTTATATGGCTCTTGTGGACTTTTTCCTCTGCTTCTACCTGAACTTAAGCATTTGGTGGTCTGTTCCACTTGTTCACGTTTTTAGCTGCTAATATTGAGCTTCTCCGTTGTCTCTAGATAGAACACACAAATCAAATTAGCCACATCTGGGTGAATAGAATTTGGAGAAGGTAGACTCAGTGGAAGATAACAAACTCACTGCCATTGAGTCCGTTTTGACTAATAGCAACCCCAAAGGGTAGGGTAGAACTGACCCTTTGACTTTCGGCGACTTTAACTCCTTACAGGAGCAAAAAGCCTAGTCTTTGTCCCAAGGAGTGGCTGGTAGTTTGAACTGTGGACCTTGCGGTTAGCAGTCCAACCTATAACCCACTATGCCACTAAGGCTCCCCAAACAACTAGACATGGCTCATGCTCATTCGCCATTAAAAAGATGCAAGTAAAAATTTAAAAGGAGATTCCATCTCACCCCAGCGAAAATGGCACTGAGGAAAAAGAAGACAAATTCTGGCAAGGATATGGGGAGCTTAGAATGCTTATCCACTGCTGGTGGGATTGTCAAATTCTGCAGCCGTGGTGGAAAATGGAAGGCTCCCCAGAGGCACAATACTTAAGTCTTGGCTTTTAACGTAAAGGTGACAGTTTGAACCTAGCAGCAACTCAGTGGAAGAAAGGTGTGGCGGTAGACAGTCAAAGGTGACAGCCTTGGAGACCTGGGGAAGCTCTGCTCTGGCTGATAGAGCCCCTGGGAGTCTTCATCTACTCAGTGGCAACGGGCTCACACTTTGAACAATTATGAGGATGGCACAGAACCAGACAGTGTTAGTGTTTCATTCCTTTTTCACAGGGTCACTCTGTCAGAACTGGGTTGATGACATCTAACAACAGCATATGTATGCATTAGACCGAGCCGTACACCTGATGGGATTTTGTTGGAAGGAGGCGTTGAAAGAATAGGACCATAGTCTTGTGGAGCAACTTGAGTCGTTGCCTCAATATAGCTCGCGAAGCTTGTTTTGTACATCCTGGTTTTTGGTTAGTCCCTGGGGTCTTAAAAGGTTGCAAGCAGCCATTTGAGATACAGCTCTTGATTTCTTTTCATGTGGAGCAAAAGAGAAGAAAGGAAATCAGACTCAGAGAAGACTCTAGTCCACAGGACTAGTTATCTGCATGAATCATGGCCTCATGGGTGCTGAGACCAGAAGAACAAAGTTAGTACCCAGCTACCCCTACTAACCAACTATTCTTATCCGGGCACAATAGATAGATCCTGATAAAATGGAAGAAAAACCTAGAACAGAACACAAATTCTTAAAAAGTAACCTTACTGGACCAAATGCGGCTGGCTGCAGGATACCCCGGGTCTTCACTTTGAAATACTTCTTAAACCTTGCACCAAATCTATGCCCCTAGGTCACCTTTTAGCTAAATAACAGATCGGCTTATAGAATAGAGAATATCACCTGAGTACTGCACTCGCTTTAAAAACCATCTATACTCGTATTTCCCAAAGTGGGAAATACTGCTTACTGAGGGGAACTGTGAGCATCCAGGGAGGCTGCAACCGCAGGTCTGATCCGTACACTGTAGCTTGGCTTATGGGCTGCGGTACCGAAGTTTTTAATTCCCTGGGAGTACTGAGTGGGTTTGGTTTGGCTTGGTTTTCTGGACAGGGACTGGTAGGCCAAATCACTTTGAGAACCTCTGATTTATCTGATGAAACCAAAAGGTCAACAATCAGTAAAACAAAGGTACAAAGGAAAGGAAATATAGGAACCACTTATTGAAAACAATCAAAAGTTATGAGAACATTGATACATTGGGGTGGGGGGGTGTTACCAATGTCACTGAACAAGTGTATAGAAATCTTTAATTTACTCCTTACACACCCATTAGGATGGCTAAATTCCAGAATTCTGAGAAAAATAAACACAGGTGAGGTGGTGGAGCAGCAGGTACTTTTACTGTTTGCTGATGGGGATGCAAAATGGTATGGCTATTTGGAAGAATTTTGGCACTTTCTTACATAGTAAATACAAACTTCCATAAAAATCCAGCAATTGCGTTCTTAGATATTTATCCGAGTTGAAAATGTATGTCCATAGAAAAACCTGCACAGGGATGTTTATACCAGCTCTATTCAGGTTCTTCGGTTCTGATAAGCTCCCAGCAGATATTGATGCTGTCTGATCCCCTTAGATGTCATTTTGAACAACAATGTTCGGAGAGACCTGTGGCATAGTGGTCTCGGCATTAAACAGCGACACTCGTGGTCAGGTGTACTCGCCTCCGGGGTCCAACCTCTGAATCGGTATCTACTGTGAGGCAGAATCGACTTGATGACAGAGAGTATGGTTTTTTAGAGAAGGCCTTGGGTCGATAAGGAATTTTAAAAGCATGGATAGGAAAGTCCACAGTATTTTTCTGGTAAGGTTTGGAAATGGGCCTTTTCTTTTTCCTTTCCAGAAACTTAGAGATGGTGAAGAGTTACTCTCAACTCAGAGCGCTCCCTTGGACTGAGGGAGTAGGAACCTGAGTTCCTCTTCCCGATATTCCGGTTTCTCCCAGGCCTCATTCTGCCCACTTGTCAGACGCTGCTTTCTTCCTCGTCTCTGCCAGCACCGGGAAGGTAGCCTCATGAGGTTTTGTCTCTTGCAGTGGAAACTCCATGAGGCTCTGGAAGATCTGAGACAAAAGCAAGAAGAGGCTTGGAAACTGGAAGTTGCTGAAAGAAAAAGAACTGCCAACTGGAAGGTAGATTTCCCTTTGGGGGAAAGCGTTTGTGTCATCTCTGTGTTGCCCTGGAACTAACTGTGAGACAAAAGATGAAGTTGGAAGTTAGAGAGCCCAACGTTCTAATAGCCTCTTTCCCAGGTGTGTTGCTTTAGACCACATAACCTCTCAACTCCACCTTTCTCGGTGATGTGGGGATAGCTCGGTTTTATGTCCTTATATGTGAAAAAGGAAAAGTACATGTTTCCTGTATATTAGCTCATAGTAGATTGTGTACTAGAGCACAATTTCCACTCTGCTTCCTCCAGCAGGTCCATATTTGATGAAAGTTTAATTCTTAAAGTGGTATTAGAGATGGAGAAGGAAGGAGTGGGGGGAAAGTGGTATTGGAAAATCATCTTTGAACAATAAAATAAAGGTCAAAACATATGACCAAGGCAAAGTGAGGCACAGGAGGTGCCCAAGAGTTAGAGGCCACAAAGGTGAATAGTGTTATTATATTCACAGCCTTGGATTAACAGTAATGATAAGCAATAATCTGAGCAGATACTCAGATAGGTGGACTTGCAAGCTGAACAAGAGTGGGAAAATTAATAGAGCTGTACCCACAACTATATGTACCTGGAACTTTAAAAAGTTTGTGGGGAAAATGGTAGTATCTTTAATTCCATTTTTCCATGAACTTTTTGAAGCCTTCATATATAGGTTTGGCAGGAGATATTTCTACATATACATTTGTATGACATGCAGACCTATCCTTCTATATGGTAGAGTATGCAGGGGGTAAAGTTATGAAGACTTCGTCGCTATAACCAAACACCCAAGAGAATGCGTCACTGGGCGTGTGAGCTTAGCACCATGGTCTCGGGAGATGTCCGGGTCAGTCTGTCTAACTGTGTTAGAACAAAGACAGTGTTCTCCTTCGTACTCTGGTGACTAGCAACCAGTCTGAGGTATAGCAATTGCTCTCCCCCCTGTCCAGAGCAAACCAAAGACTCGAGGAAATAATGAGTGAAAAGAATGAATGGACCATATAGCCCTTGACCTCTACTGCCCTGAGGCCAGAAGAACTAGATGGCACCCAAGGAGCACGACAGAACTGTAGCAAACATTTAAAATTCACAAGACCAGGTTGACTGGCTCGATAGAGACCAGTAGAAACTCTGAGACTGAACCTTTGACACACTTCAAACTTGGAGCTGAACCCACCCCAGAGATCACTTTTCAACTAATCAATAGACAGACCTATAAAATGAACAGCAATACCCAGGTAGAATAAAATCCGCAAAGTTGTCCATCATAGCAGACCGAAACAGTAGCAGTTTACACCTAAACAAAGCTCAACAGGCAGAAAGGGGCAGGAAAGAAAAAAATGGAAATGAAAACCCCAAGGAGGAAATGGGAAGAATGCTATTATGTTAAAAGAATTACAACTAATCTCATAAGATTATACACACACATGGGGATACCCAAAAAAAAACGGGAAAAATGTGTACCATGAAATCTTTGCCCAGCGGAGCTTTTTTCCTGTTTTTTTGTTTTGTTTCGGGGGTACCCCCTCATATATACATGTGTATATGGAGATATATATACACACACACAAACTAAATGAATAATTAATACAATTACCTCTCAAATAAATTTTTGTCCTATTACCAGATCATCAGAATTTTTTCATCGACAGTAAGATTGAACTAATCTAAAAAGCATATTGAATTGATATAATATTATCAAAGAGCAAAATCACATAATGGTGTAATGTTACATCTCTGACACATCAAGTGATAATTTAAAAATGGAAAAGAGTGTGTAGAATACAGTACCCAAATAAGCTCCTGGTTGGATCCTGCTGGGCCCAGAAGCATGCATTGTGGCTTTGAGAACAGAGGGCTAAGAAAACTGTACCCTGTCTGTTGTCTGTACATTGCCTCGCACGTGATTGGTACCAAAGCCTTCCAGAGTGTGCATATGTACGTGACTCCAACACTAACAACATGAGTGCTGATTTCCTGATGTTGCCTCTGCAGGTCCAAATGGAAACTCGAAAGCAGAGTATCATCTGGGAGTTTGAGAAATACCACCGATTACTAAAGGAAACACAGACACCAAGTCAGCAGCCACAGGCGGAAGCAGCTGCCGCTCTGGCCAGCCTAGAACAAGAGGAGAGGGAAACGATGCAGCAAGTGAGGTTGAATCATGATAAGCTGGTCCAGCAGAGCCAGGTCCTGTGGAGAATGATTACAGAGCTGGAAGAGAGGTCTCAGAGGCCTCTCCGGTGGATGTTGCAGGTGAGTAGCAGGCTTTCATGGAAACCCCGAGTGAGAGCTGAAACTAGCTTTGGACTTCAGGAGAGAAGACTAGTTAGTCGTCAATAGGGCCTAGCACTCTGTTCCATCAGGCATGAGACCCCTATGTCCCAAGCTAATACCTACTGCTCCCCTGCGTCTGTTTGGTTGGATGACCTAGCCCATTGTTGCCTACTAAGTGGTATGCTCAAGCAGCCCATCCATCACACCAGTCTCCCCTCTGGCCTTACAATTTTGAAATGAAGCCTAAAAGCTGCCTGTCCTAAAAAGTTTAGCCTACTTAGCTACCCTCCTGTGAGTTTCTCCTCTGTCCACCTTTCCAGCTTGAGCATCTGCTTCCCTTTTCTCTAAACAAAGGCCTCCCCAGAGTTCGGTGCTGGGCCTCCCTGAGTGTGTTAGGCAGGGTTCTCTAGAGACAAAACCAGGATAGGTTTATATATCTAAAAGGATTATATATCTAAAAGGATAGGTTTATATAGCAAAAAGGAATAATACAACAGCTGATTATTCCACACAGCAGTACAGAGGTCTCTGTCCAACTCAACTCCCATGGGAAAGTTAATATCATGAAGATCCTTCCAACTCATGCAAGCTGCGGAGCCAAGGTCAAGGAAGCAAACCGTGACGTGGCTGGTGGAAGGTGCAGAGTCTTCCCACAGGCAGCAGACGCAGGCGGCATGGTGGGGCAGCAACAGCAGGCAGATGAGATGTAGCAAAGTAGGTCATGATGGAGCTCCAAGGTGCAACGATGCACAGAACAGGGACACAAGCCACCACGGTCCCCGGTTGGCTTGCCTCAGCCCACAGGCAGCGCAAAATAGCTAACTCAGGCAGCAGCATGCTGGTCCACAGACCAGGGAGAAAAAGAGAGAGGCCAGCCTCTTAAGAGCCATCTACTCAGTCGCCCTCCAATCATGCTGCGGCCTGATCGACAGGCAAAACTCCACCCACATGTTCCTATGGGAGCCATGTTGGCACCCAAAAAACCCCTAACTCACACTGAGGAACTGTGCATACTCATGTGGTGTCTTCTTTTCTCTTTCTAGGGTGTTCAGGAAGTCTTGAACAGGTATGTTCCCATCATTACAGTGTCTAGGTATCCCTCCAATCTAGACGGTCTTGCCTGGGGTCAGACACGGGGAAGGAGCATTGAACCTTCCTTACAAAAAAGCAGGTGCTGAACTACATCTCTCATATTTTTAAAAAAAAAAGGTTGTCATCAAATCAACTCCAACTCAGTGCAGCTATTTTCTACAAAGTGAATGACAGTGGCACCCCCATTTTCTGTTTGCCCCACTGGACCTTCCCTGGGCAGCCAGTCCTTGCTGAAGCGTTAGAGCCCGCAGCACCGTTGGTCTGGCCAGAGACTCCCTGGCCATGGAAGACTAAGATGGTCATTGCTCTAGCCAGAGACTTTGAACTTTACCTGGAGAACCCTACCCCGGACAAGTTTGTTCTTTTGAATGGCTGAGCCCAGAATTCAAGGATTCCTCTGTTAGACCCAATGGTAAAACAGTTGAGACCCAATCAAATGAATATGTGCTTTTCTTCTTTATTCTTGGCCAAATCTGAGATATCACCAATTAGACTTTCAGGTAAAGTTACAAAACGTGTGGTTTCAATTAGATAGTCTACTGGGAGAAAGGGGCCTATGATGTGTCCATCAGTGCTTTAGTCCTTGAGTCTCAGCCCTGCTTCTTTGTAGCGTGTCAAATGCACCTTTCCCAATGTCATCCACACCTCTAACCTGCCCCACACCCTGGGAATGCAAGTGTTCGCATGTCTGAGAGTCAGACCATTTTGCCTGGGAGGAGCTCTGTCCTCACTGACCATGTCCCTGGCCAAATCCCTCTTCCAAGGAAGGCTCAAGGGCAGAGTCAGGAATCCAGGCCCCAAGCCATACCCTTCCTCTACTAGGAGCAAGGCCTGGAGCCTACAGCAGCTAGAACCAGTCTCCCTGGAGCTAAAGACTGAGTGCCGTATACTGGGACTTAAAGAGATCCTGAAAACATATGCAGGTAATGGATTCAGAGAGGTATAATGGGCAGGGGGAGGGACCCCTTGTACATAAAAAGGTGTAATGTTCTCAGGGTGCCCTACCCAACCCTCCTCTACCCATCATTGAGCTATCTGTGGTTGTATTGATCTGAGCCATCTAGCCTAGACTCCTGGCTCCGTATCAGTCTTACCAACCAGGATCTTTTTCTGCAGCTGATGTAATCCTGGATCCAGACACTGCTTACTCCCGACTCATCGTATCCGAGGACAGAAAAAGTGTTCACTATGGAGACACCAAGCAGAAACTGCCTGACAATCCTGAGAGATTTTACCGCTACAATATTGTCCTGGGCAGCCAGTGCTTCTCTTCAGGCCGGCACTACTGGGAGGTGGAGGTCGGAAACCGGTCAGAATGGGGTCTAGGAGTGTGTAAGGAAAATGTGGACCGCAAGGAGGTGGTCTATTTATCCCCCCACTATGGATTCTGGGTGATACGGCTGAGGAAGGGAAATGAGTACCGGGCAGGCACTGATGAATACCCACTCCTATCCTTATCAGTGCCTCCACACCGGGTGGGAGTTTTCCTGGATTATGAGGCGCATGATATCTCCTTCTACAACATGACTGACAATGGCTCCCACATCTTCACTTTCCCCCACTATCCCTTCCCGGGGCGCCTCCTGCCCTACTTTAGTCCTTGCTACAGCATTGGCTCCAACAACAGTGATCCTCTGACCATCTGCTCCCTGAATGGTGAAGACTAAGACAGTTGCCGTATTAGCCAGAGACCTTGAACTTCACCTGGTTCACAAGGGTCTTGGAGACCCCTGCCTGACCAGTGTCCCCGTGAGCTGAGCTAACCCTAACCCTAGAATCCAGGGATTCCTCTGCTTGACTCAGTGGTCTCTTGCTGTTAAGATGAAGCCCACAACTAAACTAATCATGTTAAAAAGTGGTGGCTCACTCACGTGAGTGTCTCATCTTCATGAGGGAAGCATGGTAGGACTGATGGTGGGGATCAAAGCAGTTCTCAGATTAACGTGGCTTAAGGATCAGAAATATCGCTCTTGTGTAGTCATGCCCCCTCCCCTGGTCACTCTCCAGTGCCATAATTAGGGAGAGTGAAGACGAAATGGATCCAAGCACCAGGAAACCCTTGGAATAGGGTTTCACCAACAAGCTAAAGGAATATTGTCTATGAGAGCTGGTTACTGCTAATAACCAGCAAGAAAATTCACCTAAAATTCTGCTGCTACTGACCAAACCTTGATCTGACCCAAGCTCTCTCACCTCCTGACTGGAGAATGCAGTGTAGCCAAGAATGCAGGACTTCTCCAGGCCCCTCTGGAAGTACTATCTGGACAAAGCATTTGATCTTCAAGACTGAAGAGCCCTGTTTCCTAATCCTGCCTCTTCCTTTAAGTAGCAGGATCAGAACACCCATGAACCTTAATTTTAATTTTCACTTTGTGGTCAAGAAAACTGAGATGACCTTAATGCAACAAATCATTTCTCACACCCCTCTTAAAGAAGATGACTGTAAACGATTCTTCGTATTCAGATGAAATAATACCTGCAGCTTCTCTACTTTGGCTACATATCTGCCTATCATTCATTCCATTTGGGCCTCAAGCATCTCATGTGTGACATTTCTTGAGTTTCCTCATTAGAAAAATGGATTTAATAATGGCTCCCCTCCCGTACAGGCTCCGTGTGCATCACAGACTCATTCTATACATTTGCTCATTTCTCAGGGATGGAGGAAGGCAAAACATGGTTTCTAATATGGTGACCTTCCTTCCCATCTCCACATTGTCCAATCAGCATTTTCACAGCAGTGCCTTTTTTTCCTTAGGACCTCTCCTCTCCTGATAGCCCAGAGCTCTTCAGACAAAAAGGTACCCATGCTAGTGGCAAGTTCCGAGCTGCAGTAGTATATTGTGCATCTGATTAATGTGTTTTTATTTAGATTAGAATGGGTACCTTCACCTCAGGATTGAGAACAGGAATAATCCAAAGGAAAAACAAGGAATAGGATGGACAACTCATCAAACCAGTTTGTCTAAAATTGAGTCTTTGCAGTTCAAAAGGGAATTCCCATTGTTCTTGCAAATGCATATTCTCCCAGCCTGTCTCTTCTTTGACTCTGCAGAAAAAGGACTAAAGGAAGGAAAGTGTGGGGAGAAAGGCGAGAACGAGTTGCAAACTGCCTTTTTAGCATACTGTAGTCTAATGAAAGGAATTAAACCCAATCTGTGAAGGTCACCTTAGAATGCTTGCTGTGTGTAGCAAGGAGAGTTGTACAAAAACCAATTCACTACCAGTTGCACAAGTATGATGTGGGAAGATCGTGGCTAGGAACAAACTGCGAGCAGCATTTCATAATCGCTGACTTTGCCTAATAGAAGAAGGTCCAGCGTGCAAGCATTGCATGTTGTCTCCGTGATGCTGTACAGTGCGATCTGTGATGCGGTTCTCACTTGAGGGAGTGAGGAGTGGCTTGGTATTAAATTGCAAAGTAGATAACAGACAAAGACAAAAAGCAAACCAAAGCTCAAAAACCCACTGCCCTGAGTAGACGCCTACTCATAGCAACCTTCTGGAGGGTTTCAGAAACTATTCAGCCACAGGTGGGTTTGAAACACCAACCCAACAACACCTACTCCACAGTGCTACCGAGGGCTCCTAAAGTCAAAAAGCAAAGTAGCTCTAAATTACCTGTAATCAGGATTAGCAGAAGTCATGTTTCTGCTTTGGGTTTTTTGGCTCTTCACATAGGGATGCGGTAAAGCAGTCCAAAACGGTGCCAATTAAACTGTTCTACCTAGCCACATGCTTCTGAGTTGCTCCTTGAGCATTGCCAATAGAAGGGAAGAAGTTTCTGTCCGGTCCTTGCAGAGAAATGAGCTGGTCGTAGACCTGATCCTGAAATGTGTTGAGCTATATTGTAGGAGCTATATATCTGTGTGTGTATACTATTTGGGAGATTGTATATAAGGATGAGAAGTAGATGTTTATGAAAAATTAGTAGGAGTCCAAGGACTAAATCGATGGGTCCTTATTATGGTTTAATTGGAACAAATCTTGTATGGTTCATAGAAAAAGAATATTATTTGGTAATAAATCATTAGAATCTAGAATAAATGAGTCAAGTGACCTCATTTGTAATATATTACTACTGTTTTTTGGTTGGTTGAGTTTGTTTTACTATATAGAACCTGGCTCAGTTGCTATGATTACTTGCTAGAAGAATTACACTGTGTAGCCCACCTTGTTTATTTCTATGAACAAGGAGATTGAGGTTCTTAAGTGTATCAGGACCTTTTTCTCGGGGGCTTTGTTACAGTTCCCATCTAACCTATGAAAACAAGGACTGCACTTGTCTAATTCACCATCGTAGCCCCTGTCCACCATATCAACCATAGTATGTGTGTGTATATATGCATATAGATAGATAGATAGATAGATAGATAGATAGATAGATAGATAGATAGATATATAGATACTAAATCTTTGTTAAATGAGAGCTTGCATTAATATGCCTAGAGTCAAAACAAAAATAAAACTTTCTTTGGCCTCGTAGGGGCATGAAAAATGGGAGAATAATTAACTATAACCAAGTTCAAAAACTGGGAGAAAGATGGGACTTTCTACTCCCTATAAACAATTACAGTCTTAGAAACTCCTGGGGACCGTCCTGCCATGTCCCGAGGGTATCTGTGAGCCAGCATCAATTCAATGTGACCGCAAAAGCTAACTCGATGGGTCATTTATTTTACTGTGGCCTACAAAAGTGTCCTAGGAGGAGAAGAGTCAGGAAGCCGAGCCAAGGGTCGGGAACTTTCAGGACACCCTGTAGTGCCGAAAGCGGTCCCTCTGACTTCCTGGTAGGGGGGCACGTTCATGACAAGGCAGAGACAGCTTTGCCCATCCTGGTTTTGTTGCTGCATGTGTAAGTGAGTCCATTCTGGCTCGCAACGGCCCGGTAGGACATGGGGTTTCCGAGCAGACCGCCACATCTCCCAGCCTTGTTTCACTCGCTGAGAAACCAAGTGATACCTCAGCCTTGAGGGGTGAACGCAGAAAAGATGGTTTCATTCTCTTTTTCCTCCCGGTGGGACCTCAGTTTATCATATCATGTTCTTAGAGGCTGATTCCTACACTCCTGGTATTCAAGAATAGAGATATACATACTTGGTCGTTAAGCAAACCCAATATTAGCAAATGGTATGTATGTAAAATAACTAAACAGTGGCTCTATTCGAAAATGTTATCACATGGCATTATTTATGTAAGACTGACTCTTCCGTCTAATTAGGAAATTAGGAATTCATCGCTAGTTGGATATTCGACTCACATTAACAGTTTCTTACGCTTTTAATTTTAATAGTATTAGAAAATTACTTTTTATTCAGATTTTCAAATGTGCCAATGTTGAATTTATTTCTCTTCTCCGAGTATATATACCTGTAATTCGATGAAGACTGTCGGAAGACAGGAAATCGAAACTGAAAACAAATACTTGGTGTTGAGAAGAGTAAGAACAGTTTAACTTCACTATTTATGTTATTCTCTCGTCAGCCTTTCCATCCCAGAAAGCTTCATCTTAGGTCCGCCGCAAGAAGAGAGACCTGTGTGGTACTCGGTCCCTCTCCTTTCTGTATTACGATTGAGTCACAGAACGTGGGAATCGGATCCAAAGAGAAAGACACTCTAAACACCTAATGATTTAGCTCTGTTGCTTAAAAAATAAATAAACCCTGTTTATTTAAAAAATAAATAAATAGTGAACTTACTCCAAAGAGCCTGACAGTAGTAGGGTAAGTTCCAAGATGTGGAAAAGACCTACAAAACCTGAGCAATAGGCTGGACCTGGTTTCTGGAATGAATTGGACTCAAAGGTAGGACTCAACGCTCTTCGTTCCATCTTGTCATGGACCAGGGTTCTTTTGTCAACTCCCCTCACTATAAAGTGACCTTTCTCAGTGACAAGGCTCTGGAAAACTGACTTTGGGGGGGAACACATGACCCAAATTGAGTGGATTCCGTGGGCCCGAAAGCAACACCATGTATAACAGCTTCTCTTCTATCATCTCAAAAAGAAAAGGGAATTTTTAAGAAAAGCAACCAGGTGTGGGGCAGCCAAACGGTGGCTTTCTCCTGCAGAGGAACTGATAGAATATTGAGTTGGAAATACAGGTCAGAGCACACTAAGGAAAGAAAAAACTCTAAATTGATATTCTTTGCTTAGACCTAGCTCTAATTCAGATAGTAGTTGGTTAAAGCCATTAAAAGCAATGTTAGAAACCTAGAATCATTTCACTCACACTAGAAATCTAAAAGGTATGCAGCATTACTCTTAAGAGATTCATCTTAAGAATTTCTATAGCTCCAGGTTTACCAAACCAGTTCTATATAAGGCATCTTTGAAGCACACTGGAATAGCCGAGGTCTGGACAGATGTGGCGTTCATGAACCCAGATTGACATGGTCAAAGAGGTAATGCCTTAGTAAACCCCATATTCGCTCCCGTATTTGTTTGGTCCTCAGGCCATAGATGATGGGGTTTAGGGTGGGTGGGATGACCAGGTATAGATCTGCTAGCAACACTTGAGTATGCAAGGGTACTAAGTCTTTCCCTAGCCAAGCCACATAGATGGATGCCATTCCCGGTAGGTAATATAGAGCCATAACCCCCATGTGGGAACCGCATGTACTTAATGCTTTCAACTGAGCATTTTTTGAGGAAAGACCAAATACAGCCCGGAGAATCAGGTTATAGGAGGCAGCAATGAAGGCCACATCAGAGCCCACAATAATGGAAGACCCAATCAGACTGTAGAGACTGCTGGGCATCGGGTCAGCACATGCCAACTTGGCCACAGCAATGTGCTCACAGTAGGAATGGAGAATCACAGTGGAGCCACAGAAAGGAAGATGACTCACCATCCAGCTCAATGGAGTCATAAATAAGATTGCTCTGACAACGATGACCACAGCCATTCCCAACATCGTGTGCGGGGTGAGGATTCTCTGGTAGTGTAGGGGCTTGCAGATGGCTATGTAACGATCGAAAGCCATGGCCAGCAGCAGCCCAGTCTCCACCGCTGTGGCCGCATGGGCAAAATACATCTGAGTGAAACAAGCATTAAAGCTTATGTAGCTGTCTCCTGCACAGAAGATGCACACCATCTTGGGTGCTACAGAAGAAGCCATGACAATGTCCACAGCAGCCAGAACACACAGGAGCCAGTACATCGGCTCTTGTAGATTGGAATCCATCCAGATGACGGTCATAATGAGGATGTTTCCCAGCAGGGCCACGAAGTACATAGCAGTCAGCAAGATGGCCAGCCAAAGATGTGAGGACTGCAACCCTGGGACACCCACAAGGAAGAAGCTGGCAGGAGACGCCGTTGTATGGTTGTATTGTAGCCCCAGCATCATAGATAACACTTATCCTGTTAATGTATAAAGTGATGTAAAAGGAGAAAAAGAGGTCCGATCCAGAAAAACGTGTTCTTAACTAGGTAGAGTATTGGAATAGTCCAGTAATCATCTCAGTTAAGTGGACCATAGGATCAGAAAACTAATATCTGACAAAGTTAATGTGCTTCACATTCCATCCTCTTCCATCTTTACCGTACAATTTTCTATTAACCTTTCAAGGAAGTCTGTACTCTGTGTTAGCCACGCTTTCATGCCCAGGCTAAAGGACTTGTCTTAGCTTTCATAGTACTTCCAATGCTGACCTCTTGGATATAAATTGGCAATTTTAATAAATGAGCACTGCCTTTTCCCACTCTACCTATGAGGTTATTGTATGCACTTGTGTGTGTTGCTTATACCAAGTATGTGATCCACAGTTGTGGTGCACAAGTCACAAAGGATGAGAGCATTCATTAAGTTCCACAGAGTGAATGGGCTGAGGGTTTGTTTTTGTTTTTTGTCTTTTACCTTTCAATTCTCAGCTCCTGATGCTTAATCATTGTTGAGTGAGACAAAGAACTTCACGTGGATGAATATGTCACATGGTATTTTCCGTATAGTGCCTAGATAAACATAAATGAAGCATCCTTCTGATTGAAGAAATAGATGAATTCAGGAAAATAATTTGGAAGACAAAAATCACTTTCCATAGGAAACAACTTCCTGGAGATATTTATAATCTCTATCTTGACATTTCAGCCTATGTTTCCTATTGAACCAAGATTAATAAATAACTCCCAATTACAACTAATGGTTACTTTATAGAAATAACCCCAAGTGGATTTTTATGATCATTCAGTGTGTTTTATTCCATCTTCATGATAAACCATCAAGACATTCTAAACAAAATTTTAGCCTTAATAAAAGTATTTTTCTTATTTGTAAAATCAGGCAAATGTCCCTTTTATACAAGTCATAGGAACAAGTTAAAAAAAAAGATTAAAAGTTTCTTGAGTCACATAACAGGTGGTAAATTTGAGATTCAAAGTCAGTTTTCTAGCTCCAGTAATACCTGCTACCCCCAGTTGTGGCCATTCGTCCAAAGATTAATAAAGCAACAACTATGGAGGCTGGAAGGAAAATAAATTCGGAGCTTTACTCAGTCAATCTTGATGAAACATCTAATATTCTATATAGCTAGGCATTAATTTTGGTTCATGTTTGCACTTACCCATCTTCTGCCCAACTCCGATGTTACCAAATCATATAGTATGTAATAGAATGGGTCAGCCCTGAACTACCATTCCCCCCCCATGTGATGTCTCTTTAGCTTCTTTCATCCGGGGGATGGATGATTTCCATTCATTATTTCTACCTTTTCAACATTTCAATATTTTCTATTGAGCTAGGCTTAAGTGATAGATTAACTAACTACAAATAAAACTTAGGGGCTACTTTTTAGATACACTCTCCAATGGATTTTTGTGATTATTCAAGCTGTGCACAGTTCCCTAGCCATCTGACAATACCTGAAGAACCCTTCTAATGATTTCACTCAATCTTAGGAATATTGGATGAACAACTTTAAGGACAAGCTAGCTTTTCTTTCCTTAAAATACAGCATAGAAATCCTACTTATGTCTTTATATCCCACTCAAAATTTGTTGGTGGTCCCACGTCATAAAGAGGCAGAATAGCAAAGTGGCTAAGAGGATTTGTTCTAGATTCATACTTTCTAGACCAAAAATCTTACATTGTCACTTGCTAGATGTGTACTTGGGTCAAGTTACGTAAGTTATCTAACCCTTAATTTGCTGATTGGTACGATGGGAATAGTAGTCCCCACTACATAAGGATATTTTTTTAGATTTAAGTGAAAACTGTGAAAGTGCTTAGCTTAGCACATAGGTGATCAATAAAATCTACCTAATAAAAAGTTAGACTTTCCTACCTAAGCCTGTCATTTTATATCACTCCAAAGAGCATATTCGTGTCAGTGTGGTGCTAGGGCAAATATTTGAAAGTTCACCTCTGCATGTGTGAAGCTTTTGTTTTCCCATGATCCGTTGCTGAGGATGTCCTCATGGCTGCACACAGCCAGATTCTTTGTTTCATTAAACAATTTTTAAGCATTCGGCATTAAAAATTGGAAAATGAAAGACTGTCTCTGGCTCCTCAATCATTCTGTTAGAATGATTTGAGTTCTGTTAGAACGTTTGAATATGACTAGCAGATTATTTCAGTTCCTGGGAAAGATCACCAGCCACTGAATCTAAAATCAAGGTCCCAAGGATGGCTCAGACCATAGCAAATAGAATTGATCCACTCTTTCCTCAAATCTTTACCGCCCTAATGTTACATCTATAAAAACTTTAGCCTGAGCGATCATCACACCAACTTGTATTGGTTTCACAGTAGTTATATATAACTCAAGAGCTGTTTCCTAAGTGTCTGGGCGGAGAGGATGTTTATCTTACAAGGAAGCCTTAAGACAAGCCTGCCCTTAGGTTCCACTTCCTGAATCCTTCAAAGGGGCCTTCCAGTTTGAAGAGGTCCTTTATCCTTACCTTTGGATACTGCCTTCACTTACCCCTTTTTAACTTCTGGTCAAAGTTCGGATCCCTCTCTGAATAATTAGGCAAATCAGATTGATGGAATTCAGGCCTGAGAGTCCCAGCTGCAATAGATGTGTTCTCTGTTAGCCAACCACTAATCACAACGTTTCCTTGCTGCTCAGCCCTAACCGTATGACATATGTCTGTCCCTTCTGTTTGCTTCCTGGAAAATCCTACCACTAATTGACTCTATGCCTAGGCACCAAGAGCAGCCTCAGTGGGAATCTAAAAAGCCAAATTCTTTTTTTCCAATGGAGGGTTTAGTAGGATATTGTTGATTTCATTTCTTGAGATGGGCTATTAAATATATATAGTATGTTCCTTAAAGAAGAAAAACAAAACTCCATATTCCTTTTACTTCAAACCTAGTGATTTGAGTGGCTTTAAAAAAAAGTAAAAAGGAAGTAAACTTGGAATCTTTAAGTGACAATTAAACTCATCTCAAACTAAGTAAAATGATTGAGGCATGGTTGCAAACTGGTCTTTACTGAAAGAACAAAACACTCAATATGAGAAAGACTAGCATGGAACTTACTGGATAGTAAGTTGGTGAGCTCTGCGTTACAGTCAACTTAGAAAAACCTTGCTAGTAATATCACTATGCGAAACATCTTTGATGATCATGCAAAGTACACAGGAAAGATTTTTAATGAGGACAATGGTGAAGAGTGAAAAATAAATTTAGAATATTCTTAATACCACTGTATGTCTTCTAGACGTCGAAATTAAGGGTACATATCAGTGCTTAGGAGCAGAAGAACTGGAGGCACCAGAATGTCTCCTCATTCATCTCTGATCTAGAATCTTCCTTCTAGCTGCCCTGCATAAATCCCCCTTTCTTTTTGTTCACTGTTCAATCTATTCGTACTGGAACTTTTCTTGTTAAGATCAACAGTGATCCCCATTAATGATATTGCTAATTCAATGACTTCATTAGTTTACATGGCCTCTTAACATGTAACATTACTGCCCCCTTCCTCCTTTTTCAGTTAATTGTTAAAAATATTTTTCTTGAAATATAGCATACATCGTGTAAAATGCACAAATCTAAGCCAGCCATTCTACTTACCTGAATGTGTTTCTGCACGAATTTTTTTAAAAGCTGGCAATAATAGTAAAGCAATATTATGAGCCTTACGAATAATTGAGGTCATTAAGGTCGCTGAAAGTAGCCACAGTTAATTTTTATGACAAGAGACTTTAAAATTACTGTAATGGATGCGATCAGAATCTACGTTGTTCTAAGCAAACTCTTTGTTTATAGAGGGGAAAACACAGATCTCAGCTCTATAGTTTAATCCATTTTTATAATTAATATATGTAAGTTATAGCCACTACCCAGATCAACATGCAGCCTTCCTGCTTCCTGATAGTTGAGGTACACAGCTCTTTAACGTGCTCTGCCCACGCTTTCCTAAGACCCATTCCCAACCCAGTACTTGACTCTACCTTCACCCTTGCAGACACATTTACACGGAGGCCTGGAACATCAATTACTGAAGACAAACAGAAAAAAGTAGCTTTACTAGCCCTAGGATTTGTATGGGAATGGATACATAATCTAAATTAAAATGTCTCAAAGGTAAATGCACTAATGCATAACTACTTTGAATAGAGCCTTTCTGTTTACAATGATGATAACTCTGTGCTCCTGAGAGTCTCCTTTCCCCCAGCCAAACATACTCACAGTCAGCCTTACTGCTGTTTGTTTGTTTGTTTGTTTGTTTGTTTGTTTGTTTCTCCTACCCCTCCTCAGACCCTGAAAGCTGGCTCCCCACCATCCTAAAGATAAACACCGGCTTTGAATCAAAGTAAATAAAAATGTATTGCATGTCCTTCTCCCAGATCCCACTTCTTTTATTTTCAAAGGAATGTCTTGTCAGCAAAACCCACCAGACCTGACCAAGATTTTACTGTGAGATAGGAGTTTATATTCTCCTTTCTTGGTGACCCTTGCTTGAGACTCCACTAGCCTGACACTCAATCTCCATGGCATTTACCTACATCTCCGAAGTTTTCTTTATTCAACTGTTTCTGATGCATCTATGCCTGGCAGTTCACATTCCTTTCACTCAAAAGAAAGTAGGATTTATACAGAACCCTCCAGAAGGAGTAGAAGATAGGTTGACTTGGTGTCGAAGATGAGCAACAAAGACCCAAGGAGAAGAGTATTGTCATTTTCAAATCCCTCCCACTGTGAAGCCTCTTCCTCATTAGATTCTCCATCTTCCTGCCCTTTCCCTAGACACCCCGGTTTCCTTTGGTCTCTGCCAAGAAGCTAGAGATTGTAATTGCTCCCGAGACTGGCTGTTCTCTTTGTCCCAGCCCCTGGGGCCTCCTGCAACGCAGATGGTTAATGGATGAAAAGTCTTTTGTTTTTTCAAGTCCTCAGAACACATGTAGAATTATAATTAAGTCCATAGCGTGCTTGGGGGGGGGGGAGCCCAATATTAGTTAGATCGATGAAAGTTCTCTTGGGTACCCTGCTAAGTTTCTTTCCAAGTTATCTCTAAATTCTCACAGCCTTTATAAGTCCCATTCTATATTTTACAGATGGAGCATCAGTACATAGACAATCAAAAAGCTAATCGGCCAGAGAGTCAGGATTCGAGTTAGAGCAGCCATAATTAATTTATGCTTTGTTGTAGAACTAGCGGCACTGATAGCAAATCTCTCAAAGTCCACTTCACAGTTCAGTTTCTCATTTTGCCTGAAGACCAGCAGGCTTCACTTATTAAATATTTCTTAAGAAAAGATACTAAGTGCCACTATTTGAACAAAAAAAGGGAAAGGGGATGTAGTGAAAGCCAGTTCAGCAGGAGTTAACCTTTGCAAATTATGGAAAGGGCATAGGCTTTAACAGAAAATTATAAAAGACAAAAGTATTTCCTGAGTAGAGAAATAAAGAATAAACCAGACAAGGGTGCAGGACACTTGAAAGAAAGTTTAAAAAATTAAAATTAGGCAAGAAGAGAACATATGGCCACATTTTAGTAGAACAAGGGTTTCAGGAGGAGGTGGGTACAGTTGGGGAGCGGAGGTGGGGGCGGGTGGGGGGTGGGAGATAAAAGGGAACGATGTCAAGGAGTCCAGGAAGAAAAAGAATGGAAACTGATTGCGGTAACAATTCCACAATTCTGCTTGACATTATTGGACTAAGGAATGATATGATATATGTATTACCTCTCAATTAGTAATATTTTTAAAGGTTATGACTTAACAGGACATCATCATGGGATAGGAATGAAGCTGAAAGCAAAAATCCAACAGGCAGAATATAAAGTTCCTTGTTTTAATGACAATGGATATAGAAATATGAAAAATCAAGAGAAATGCTAAATGTTCTCAGTTCCTCAAATCTTCAGTGGAAACGTGCAGTTGCTAGTGATGTGAATGGTACAAGAGCGGCAGTTGCATATCTGAGAGGGATTCTGTGCTCTCCTCAGCCTGACAGGACATACCTAGTGACTGGTGGCTTTAAGTTCAATTGCTCAGGCTCAGAATCTACTGGACACCACTCTATCACTTGGTTATACTGTGGTGGCTTTTGTGTTGCTATGATGTTGGAAGATATACCACCAGTATTTCAAATACCGGAAGGTTATCCATGGAGAACGGATTTCAGTGGAGCTTCCAGACGAAGAAGAATGACGTAAAGATACATTTCTTAAACAAAAATTTACTAATGAAGCCCTTACAATGTCAGTGGAACCTTGTCTGATATACTGCCAGAATATGAGCACTTCATGTTGGAAAGCAATCGAATTACAACTGGGAAAGAGTAGTCTTCTCAAAGTAGAGTCAACCTGAACGACGGGGTTTGAGCAAAGTTCTGAGACTTTCATTTGTCATGTGGCATAACTCAAAATGAGAAAAATAACTGCAAACATCCATTAATAATAGCATGGAATGTACAAAGCATGAATCTAGAAAATTTGAATATTGAAAATGAATTAAGTGCATAAAGATCAATATCTCAGGCATTAGTGAACGTGAATGGATTAGTAGTGGCCATTTTGACACTTATACAATCAACTATGCTAGGAATCACAAATTGAAAAGCATTTCCATATCATTAATCATCAAAATGAGCATTTTAAGTTCTATCATGAAATAGAATGCTATCCGTGATAAAATAATATCTATATGCTTACAAGAAATATCATTTAATTCAATTTTTCAAATTTCCACATCAACTATTAATGCAAAAGGTGAGGAGATTAAAGTTTTACCAGCTTCTGCATTCTGAAATTGATCAAAAATGCAATAAATATCCATTGATAATCACTGGTGATTGGAATGTGAAAGTTGAATACAGAAGAATCAGTAGTTGGAAAATACATCTTTAGTGATAGAAACAACACTTGAAATCATGGGTTAGAATTTTGCAAGTCCAACAACTTATTCATTGCAAATATCTTTTGTTAACAACATAAACCATGAATGTTAATGGAACTGACCAGGTTAATACACAGAAATCAAATTGACTACATCTATGGAAAGATGTTAAATATCATCAGTCAGAACAAGGCTGGGGGACAATTGCAGAACAAACTTCAATTGTTCATATGCAAATGCAAGTGGAAGCTGAAGAAAATTCAAGCAAATCCATGAGAGACCAAATATTCCCTTGAATATATACAATCTGAATTAAAAGATTGTCTCAGGAATACATATTATGCACTAAACACTAATGACCAGATGAATAGTGGAACAGTATCAGGGACATCACAGCAAAGAAAGCAAGCAATCATTAAAAGGAAAATAAAATATCAAAATGAATATCAGAAAATAATTTGAAGATTTATTTTGAACATAGGGTAGCTAAAGGAATGGGGGAAAATGATTGAGTTTAAAAGCTGGATGTATATTTAAGGTCAGTAGGTACATGAAAGCCAAGATAGATAACCCTTCAGAAACAGTAACAGGAGTAATGGTTCCCTGAGATTACAGGAATTTAGGAGGATGGGGGAATAGGTGGCTGGAATTGATATGCAGGAGTTCAAGAAGAAAAATGTTTTGAAACTGATTGTGGTGGCAATTGTATAGTACTGCTTGATGTGATTGAATTATTAAATGTTACGATATCTTTAAGAGCTCCCAATAAAATGATTAATTTTTTTATTTCAATGAGTGACTTGAGAAAGCAAAGTGAGAGTCTAATAAAATGTGCAGAGACCAAGAATTAAGATTTAAAAGGGAAGAACATGCTCAGAATTTCTCAAACTGGAAGAATTAAAGAAAAAATTCAAGCCTTGAGTTGAAATTTTATCAATGAGCAATATATTGAATGATGCAGGAAGCATGGAAAGTGGAAGCAATACATAGAGTCACTTTATCAAAATATTTGGTCTACAGTCAACCACTTCAAGAAGTAGTATATGATCAAGGACTGATGGATTGAAGGAAAAGAATCCAAATTAGATTGAAGATGTTAGCAAAAGAAAAATCTCCAGGAATTAGTGATCAATTGAAATGCATTTCAATAAATGCATGCAGTACTGTAACTGTTCAATCATCTATGCCAAAAAATGTGAAAGTCACCTACTGACCAACTCATTAGATAATATCCAAATTTTTGCCTACTGTGAAAATAGGTCAACTAATATGTTTGTGTACATTAGCAAACAATAACATTAAAATCACATACAAGTAAAATTTTGCTGAAGGTAATTTTTAAATGATTGTACATCTATGAGGAACTGTCAGAAATTCAAGCTGGATTTTGAAGAGGGCATGGAACAAGAGATATCATTGCTCACATGGATTCGGGGCTGAAAAAGAATACCTCCGTTTTACTGACTATGCCAAGCACTCTACTATGTGGATTATAAATTGTGGATAAAAGGGCCATGTTGACATGTGGTCAACATTTTAAGGCTAAAAACACATACAACAAACATAAAACAACAAAACACACATAAATATTGACCTGGCTTTTTAACTTTCAGGAAAAATGTCCAAATCCAGTCTCTTCCCCTCTCACTACACTATAATTTAGCCCAGTGTTTCCCAAAGTAGGCATCCCACCCCTGGGGGGAGGGGAGGACTGAAACAATCCAGAGGGGTTGCGAAGGCAGATGTTTACACTTTCTTCTGGATGACAGGCTACAGCACAAAAACTGAGTTGCCAGGAGGATGCTGAGTAATTTTTTTTTTCCTGTGAAGGGGGCAATAGGT